TAAAGCGTTCATACAGGGAAAAGGGCTGCCTGCTTTGGCGTCGCCACTCTTTTCTTCCTGCAGCACCGTTTTCGTTTGCATGCGGTGCGGGGAACGCTTACTTATGCAAGCATGCATATATTAATAAGCATATAGAATAAAGGTACAAAAGCAGGCACACATGTAGACGCTGCACATGGAAAGCCCCAATAAAGTAATGCAAATGCATTTTACTGAGTCGATGCGGGTAGTAACTAAATAATGGCGGGTGGAACGGTGTAGATGCGTTGCTAATGTTTTTGTGTTCGTAAGCCGAACACCAGCGGGCGATCTACTCAAGCACGCTTGCGTTCATTAATAAAAAGAAACAGACACTTCACTAAATATCTCCTAAATATCTTCACTTGTTGCACTATAGTAGCAGCACTACTACTACCTGGGCGCGAAGGTACACCGAAAAACCATTCGACATGTCAGATAGCGTATACAGCAGATGAGCACAATATTATACTTTGCTTTTAAACTAGACCATATTGGATAAAAATATTATACCTAAATGCATGCAACGCATATACTGTATGCACAGACTTCCACAGAAGCATAGGTGATGCATAAATAAACACAGATACGAGCACAACCGAGGTGAGTGCATAGCTCTGTGTGCAAATAACTAAGTATAGCCATGTACACGTCTAAATGCACTCCAGAGTTTCCTCATTCCCCTTCCACCTTGACAGTTTGCGTAAGAAAATGTATAAATAAGTGCATGCATAAATACATGTGTGTAAATATACATGAATATCCACCTGCACAAGCCGTTTTACTGCCATTTTGCTATAAAGTCCACTTCAGGGTTTTTCTTTTCCATTTCTTGCCTAAACCTCTCGCATTCCTTTACCTTTTTAGGGTCCTCAGAGGCCTCCGGCAGCAGCTGCGGGAAGAAACCTTGCGCCCTCATCGCCACGTCTTTTGAAAATGGCGTTTTCCCCACTATGTTTCCAGCTGTACAGACACCAGGCCCACACCACAACACCCACGAAATCGCGTTCAACGAATGTACGCTTTCTATTTATTTTCTACAGCAGCTACTGGTACTGCTCTCGCAACTGTTTCGGCTCTGCAGCAGCAGCCGGAGGCGGCATGTAGAACCACGTAGGTGCTGTGCGTTGCGTCTGTGGTGGACTTTCATTTGTGGGGAGTGCTTTGTATGTATATTTGTGAAGCTTTGTGGTTGCTACTCAACGTGACGCTGTTTACATGGGCTGTACTGGCAGCCGACGAGAATGACCGGCCTATTGTGCTGGCACTTTCTATTGCAGAGGACGTATGCGCATCCCACTTCCGTGGAAGCCTCCCACACCGTGGCAGTGTAGTGGCCCGTCATAAGCCCTTTTGCATGCATCTCGGTGCTGCACTTGGGACCCAAAACGCCGGTGCAAGGGTTCCCAATCTTTCCGAACCTGAATACACAGCAATAAACCACCAGAGGTTGTTGAATGCGAACAGAGCGTCTACGAGGTGCACTGCAGCGCGCGACATAGAGACCCTCTAATCACAAGACCTTGCTGAACTACACAAAGAGCTCGACTTGCAATGCAGGAACACTAAAATCGGGCAGAAGAAAATGTTGTATATCGCGATACGCGATATATAACATTCTATAATATCGCTTTCATCTCTTTGTCTGTCTCTTTGTCTTTGTCTGTCTCTGTCTCTGTCTCTCTCTCGAAAGTCCACGCATTGCCCTCTCTATATGCAGATGTGTGCATCCACAAAACTTGTATGCAGCCTCAAAACAACCACTGCAGGGAATGCTCATGGGTTACCGGAGCCAACTCTCGAGTAATGGTGCGCACAGGCATGCATGCATTGTCAACAAGTGCCTGCTTGCATATTCATTTGTGTATTATGCATGGAAGTAAGTCTTTTCCTTGTCTGTACACCTCAAACAGCCGTACCTGAAGCAGTTGCCCTCAGTGGCCCAAGCGGTAGCCACCTCACGCGGAAATACGCCCAGAGAGCAGGCAGTGTACAGATTCTCTCCCAAAGGGCTTTTCACGCCCGGCTGAAAGACGCAAAACAGCGAAACCAGTTGAAGGAAGAGTAAGTTTGTTTACTCATCTACAGGGTGAACTAAAAATGCTAGACCCAGCGGATGGTGTGCACAACAAGCATCACTAATGGCTACAACAAAATGTGAGTATACAACTGCTGGTGCTGCCACTGTTGATGCGGTTACCGTTGGGAGTTTTGCCAGTTGTGCTTCTGGTTTTTGCACGAACTGGAGCTCCTCTTGCTACGGCTCACCAGATTACGAAAACTTAATGGAGAATGCTCCATACGGCACTGCTCATATTCATTCTGTTGCCGAAGATAGTCTAACATATTGGCTGCAATGACGGGGTTCCACTTCAGCTCCTGAATGCCGTGCTGGTTTCTGATGAAGTTATGGTCGTCCAAAATACCTAAATGGAGCAACACAAGGACAAACGCACAACACAAAGACATCGATATGCTGGTTCTCCTGAACTACGCAAAGGAAGCAAGGGAGTGCAATCGGAGTCACAATACAAAGAGCTAATATCAGGACTGAGGTAAAGAATACACCATAGTGCGCATTTCAACAGCACAAACTAAGCACGGCAAAAAATTTGCAGGCCGGCGCTTGCAGTGTGTGCTGCTACTTACTCTTGCTAAATTCGCCCATTGTCACTGCAAATCAAACACAAACGCAATAAAAGGAAACTGATATTCTCTACAGGATATGTCAGTGAGCCTTAGCAGCAACACAGGGAGAGCTGAGGGCTTCCTGCGCTGCACTGAGATGGTGCTTCGCCTGATTTAAACAGGAGTCTTCAGCTGTGCCCGCGATGCCAACAGTTAATATACAAGTGTATAGTGCTACACGTATGCTAAACTCAACACTGTCAATTGTGTGAACCAACGAGCCGAACCCACAGCCAGTGCAAAGCACCTTCAAGTCATGGGCGGACGCAGAGCATTCGATAGATACGGATGTGAATACGCTGGCGTTAGCTGCGCTTCATTTCACCCCAGTGTAGGACCTAATTAAGTGTAAATGAGTGCTGTACATAGCAATAAGTGTCCTAGTAGAACATTAACCACGAGACATCTCTAGTCGTCGCCTTTGTTTTGTTTACCTCACCCACAAGGCTCTCGATGAATAGGAAATAAAAAGGCAGGCGAGCGCAAAGAGAATAGCTACCTAATTAAGATGAATTTTGCTCACATTTTTGAAACCTGGAGACATATTGAACATCAATGTCCCCTACACAGGTACCTTTTCCTGCATCATATTTCTGGAAAAGGCGGAATTGCCTCCCAAACCCAAACGCTCCCACCAGTCCCTTGTCGTTGTACGCCCGAGAGGTAAATCCCGTGTCATACTCCTTGCACACTAATTGTTTCTCTACTCTAACGTCTGCAGACAGGCACAAACACGGTAGGGGCGTATGCAAACGAATTGCCTCAATAGACAGAGTCTTCTTACATACGAGGTGAACAAAAAGGGAGCAAACCTGCCCAAGGAGGGCACAAGCAAACACAATCTACAATTCCTTCGCTTGGCAAGCGGAGAAGCCCAAGCAAGGTCCGCGGTATAGCTGTTGCTGCTTGCTAAAGTGCCAGCGTTTGTCATCGCTGCAGCTAGATGTTCAAAATATGTATTTTGCTACTCTTCACTTCAAGGAACGTCTTCTTTGGACGCGCATTGCTCGGCCCTCCCCTCTGTCTGTTTGTGAGTGTCTCATCCGCTGCCCATTTTTTTCTGCCCATTTTTGCCACTCTCCCTGTCTGTCTTTTTGTCCCGAGCCTGATGCAGCCGTATATTTCTGCTTTCCTTGTGAATATCTTTGTTTCTGCATGCATTGGTCCCCACAAGCCTTACTGAGTTTGATGTTTTTCATCAACAGTCTACCGAGTTCTTCTTTAGCTGGTTGGGGGACAATTTTCAACTCTCCTTCCACTGCCGTTAGAAACTGTTCTCCACCTGCAGACAATAGCATTAGCAACAGCAGCCACAACAGGAAGAAGAGCATCAGAAGCCTCTTCAGCGGCTGCCCGGCAGAGTAGGTTGCAGTGTACGTGCGACTGCGGAAAACGGCTGTGAACTTTGAAGCGTTTTCTTTTTCTTCCATGAAGGTGGTTAAGGACGCGTTTGAATGGCCCTAGAGGTGCAGCTGCTTACTTTTGCACCCGACTGATGAAACGCAAATCTCTGGTTCTGCTGTTGTCAAGCAGGATGAGCCTTTTACGCCCCGCGTCAACCGCATTCGCCTCCCGATGCCGCAGGAAGATGAACATTCGCTCCAGTTTGTCGTCATTGTGTGGCAGCCTGAAAAGCGACACGCAGGTACGGATAGCGACCATTCCTGTTAAGCACTTCAGTACCACTAGTTGGGGAAACAGAGGAGTACAAACAGAACGATTCAGCGTAGAAGCACCGGCAAACAATGCAAAGTGCAAAAACACAGAAGCGAAACGAGTGATAAGCGTCAAGGGGAGAACAGTAAAATAACGAAAACTTTCGAACACAACACCAGCGCCTCTTTATGGTGGTCTGGAGCAGATAGAAATGCATGCACTTCGAGTTGTGTGTGCGTGAGAGCTGCTTATTAGCTTTGGTGGTTTGTTTGGTGTGGCCTTACCACTTTTTGGATCGTCATTAACGGCACTTTGCACCCTAAGGCTGCCACCAGGGAAAAACTCAACATCATCTGAATATTTCTTGGCAACGTTTTTAAGCACGTCTAATGCACGCTTCATGTGTTCTGCCGGGATGGAAGGGTCGATAGAAGGGTTGGCAGCAGCCAACTTTTCTGCAGACAGAAAAAGAAACAATATACAGCCCTACAGAAATTATGTTCTATTGAACGCGCAGAGTCTGATGCCAGCGCCAGCGCCTCAGCACCAGAAAAGAATAATCAAGAAGGGGACAAAACAATCCAAGACAGTAGCCGGAACGGCACAAGACCAGTGGGGCGACTGGCAGCCACAACCAGTGCAAAACCCATCTTCTCGATCCGAGAAGAGAAACAAAGCACAATCACAACCTGAAGGCAAGAGATAAACGAAGGTATCCACTCAGTCGAAGAAATAAGTTTGGTCCGCTAAGTGGACACTTGGGTAGTGCAGGCATTCACTTTTGCTACGGGAACACCCTATTTTTATGAGGATTCTAATTGCCTAAAGATTATGCCGGCACGTTTAGTTGCATTGATCGCAGCTAATCACGCAAGATAACACATTCGTCAAACCGCCCCTGACAGTAAAATGAAACGATGGAAAAAAGAAGGAAAATAACCACGAGGCACTTCATGCTGAGACAATAACACTACAGCATAAGTGAACGAAAGAGACGCTTTTGCTGTTGTAGGTCTTCATTTCGACACGAAGTATTTAGTGTGCAAGACTAACTCCATCTATTGGCTGTATGTTTCTACACAAAAGTCAACAGACACACTAGATTGCATGCGGAAACAGATCTACAAACAACTAGGAAAAGAAAGCGAATTAGATGAGAATTGATGGGGCAGTGAGACAGACAGAGATAAAGGAGAAAAGCAGTTATTAAGCCACAACCCGCATAAGCATTGTTTGCCTGCTCAATGAACGATCCGTCGTCTTCGAACAAAGACCTTTCTCCTCTCACTCCACAGTGGTGCCTTGATCTATTCGCTTTAATAAAAGCCCATTTTCAGAGAACTCCGGCCTTGAGGTATTCAAGTTTTTCCGTTCTTACCTTCTTCGGAAAGGTAGTTGCTCCTAGTCAATGCGGGCATAGGCGGCTGTTCAAACACGCGGCTTCCTGCAAGCCAAGAAAAACAGAACAAAGTAAAAAAGCAAGCAATCAAAACATATACCACAGGCAGGAAGGAATTAGTAGCAGAGGTGCGGGGAATAAGCAAACAGTAAAAGATGGAGAAGTTATAGAATGGCAAAATGCAGCGAGCGAGGCATACAGACAGCTCAATGTAGAAGTAAAAACAGCAAAAGGCAGTGGAGGAAAGACAGAAATGGCCACCAAACGCTGGAATAAAACACAAATAATAATAATAGTAGAAAGGAGTCGAGGGGAGAGAGTATTCTGCACAATTATAACGCGAATACAGACAATAAAGTCTAGGAGAAAAGACTGCAAAAGGCCAGACAATGCCACCAACGCCGTATTCAGGTTTTAATGTAAAAGTGCAAAAAAACATTTATGCCTCAAGCTTTGTCCCCATGCAGTCACGAACGGTGTACCCTTCAAATATATATATATATATATACAGACCTGTGCATATATATTGTATGCATATATATATAGACCTA